CACGGAGTGGCTTTTGGAAAATGCAAAAAACGAAGTCCTCTTTGATCCTGAACCCTAAACGAACCCTCAAAACCCTCAAAAAACGAAACTCGACTCAAAAATTTCAGAGATTTTGTGCCTTTTCGGCCTCAAAACGATACCCACCTTGCTTTTTCTTCTAAAACGATATCCAACTTACTTACAAGCCACCTGGGCCGAGCCCCGAGCATGGGTCACAGTTTTTAGTGAGAGATCATCGGTTGGACTGCAATAGCAGCATAAGTGTAAAAAAAGGTTGAAAAGATGCATCGAATGCATCCAAGAGCTACTATGGCAGCCGTTCAAAAAAGTCAAAATACTTTGGAAACGACCTAATATGCGTCTCCAGTCATGACTTGTGAAAATGCTATCAAAAACTTTGCTTTTATTGGCGAAACTATAATAAGAGCGAGAGATTGTCTAAAAAATTATCTAGAACCAGGCAAAAGTGAGACAGAAACCCATCTTTTATGTGGTTCAAACTAACTTCATGAAAACAAGTTTTGGAATATTAGGGCAAACCCTGCATTTCAGAGATGATAAATAACCAAGAGGTTAGTAAGCTGAAGATTTCGCATGGTAGATGCATACTCAAGAAAATGGATAGCCTTTGTTTAACGTGAAATTTTTGCAATTTTGAAAGCTTAAATGTCCTCTTGAACTATGTCTAGATGGAATCACACACTGAGCTTGCAAGTACGTGCTAGAAATTATGATCTCATACCGCCAAACTAAGTTGAAATCCAAAAAAATGATACTCAAAGATCCGTTACTTTTCGGACAGCCTGGAAGCAAGCATTACGCCAAAAAAACTAGATCTACTGTTTAGGATAATAACAAATTGTAGTTAGCCAAGAATTCTTATAAATACTTGAGAAATGCTCAAGGCTTTGATTTGCCAGAAGAAGTTTAGACGTTGCCGCAGGCTCTTGTTCATAATTACACACTTATGCCAGTGACACATCACAATTAATAACATTATGTCCTAATAGGACACCACACAAGACATTAAAAAATCCACAGACCTTCCGGAAAAGTATCAAAAACTTTATATGTAGATATATCGGGAAATATACGTAAAAACAACTTAATGCCAACTTTTAATAAACTATTTTGAGGTAAAAGAATGCAAATTACGCTTTAGTAGCAATAAACAAGAAGACAGCCATTTGGAAGGTGTGCCAGCGTAGGTGATTCGTCAGGTTGGAACACGAGTTTTATATCAGTTCTTAAATTTTTAACTCTTTCTCATTTCAATGAAAGAGTCCACCGGATGTAGAAAGAAAATTATGCGCTTTCGAAAAGTGCTCAAAGCAAAAATCATAATAATTAGCGACGATAAAAGGCGAACATAATAAACGATTAATGGAGCTCTTCAATTCAATTTTGATTTCGTACACAAACTTCTAATGTGCATGATAAAATACTGCATATATTACATCCATTGAAGAAATTTGCAGATTGATGGTGCTCCATTGCCGTATGATTTTGTTTCCATTTTGTTAAACCTATATTTCAACTCGAAATTACCAGAACTAGAAGTGCTCTTTTTTTCAGTCCAATCAACAATAATATCGGTCAAAACTCTAAGAGCAATTTTCATTAAATAATCATCTTTGTACTTGCTCACCACATTTCAAATAAATAAAACTCTGTTTTAGAGTGTTTTGCATCAATTTTAGCGAAAATATACATGCTCAGCTTCCATGAATAGTCTCTAGTGATTTATTTGCTTCCTACTTGGAAAGGATTAGCTAAATTTAATAGAACTAAAACTTGAACTCGCTTCAAAAATATTTCCGCTCCTGCCTATTGTCATAAGATCGTTACGTGATGATGCATTTACAGAGTGTAGCAAAGTTTCATGGTATTATAGCAATTATCAATACCTTAAAAGTAATTAAACCAAATAACACCTGCTTGATTGCCAGACCTAATCATTGATTCACTAATCTACTTCTCGTTTTTCTCAGTGTATAAAAAGAGATAGATTCTATGTATAGCATCCTAATGCAATAAAATGAAACCTAATGTGCTGCCATTTTTTGAGGAAAAAAGGTCGTGCCATTTGAAGCAACCTAAATTTGGGGTTCTTGCTGGTTTATAATCGCAAGTTGACATCAGTTTTAATTGCATGTAAGGAAAGATCTATTTTCGTCCACCAGTCACACATTATATTTGAGTCCTACAGCAAAATTCCTATGACATCATAAGAAATGGCCCAGCCACAATCGACTCTAACTGTGCTGATGCCATGGGACAGTTCTCAACACTTTTTTGCTTATTATTTTTCTGATTATCAGAGCGATAAGAATCGAATCAGAGTCAAGGAAATGACACAGACAAGCATAAATCATTCTCGCGGTGGAGCAAATGGAAGTTCATTGTAACAAAAAGTAGTTAAGTTTCTTTTTTAGAGAGAACTCACAATATTATATTATATTATATGTATGCCCAGTCTTGCCACTGGTAAAAAACCAGAAAAAGAAAAAAGAAATAGAAAAAACGAAAAAAGCAAACAGGCAATAAACTGTGTCATCATAGCAATGACATAATAAAATCACTGTCTTACAGCTTTGTTTCATAAAAAAAAATTTTTTTTTCGGAATATGTCACACAGGAGGTATAAAAATATTTTAGAATCATGAAGGTTAGGCAATTTCGCTTCCAAATCGGACAATAATAATCAAATAGTAATCATGAAGCAAGACTGTGTTCAAGTATTTTTTGCTTCAAAAAAAGAAATGCTCACCACGATAATATTCGATTTTTTTTTTGACAGTGATGCAAAAAAATCGGAATCTTAGCCTGGAACCGAATCTTCGTCTCACTTTTTTTTACAGTTGACCTTTTCCTATTCTTCAGAATTTTCATAGCAAAGTTCTGGCCCTCACTGCCGACATATCAGCACTTTTTTTATAGAAGGACCTTTCTCTCATTGTTCTAAAATTAGCAACACTAGTATCAAAAAGAGAGAACGCATTAAGCACAAGCTAGTATTGTTCACGTGGTGAACAAACAAGTTTTTGAAATGATTCAAGTGCTTCTAGTTTTGCAGAGAAGTTGTTTCTTAGAAGGGTCAATTTCACAGAAAACACTCTGGGATATTTTCTCACCACTGAGTATCGATTTTACACACTAACAAATTTGATTTTATGCAAAAAAGCTCAGTTTTTCAAGGGCTTGTGGTCACTGCTGTAAGTGCCAAGGTAGTTATTTACGTCAAACCAGAAAAATTAGGTTTTTTTCTATAAATCTTGCACCAAGAGATATAAGAAATTTGTTTAAAATTTAGATAAATGTTCCAATGTTATATTGTAGTTTACTATACCAAAATGAAAATCATATAAGTAAGAAGAATAATGCTGCTAAATCTGAAAATGCTCCTAGATCTTGAAATACATATATGTTTGTAGGTGCATCCGATTGCACGAGTTCCTCTCATTTAAAAAAATAACAAATAAAGGTAAATAAGTTCTGTTGGGTTTCAAGAACAAAACTAGAAAAAATACGATATAACGGTTTCTATGTCTACTGGTAATATGCCGATTATTTGCTTAGTGATGGTTATTTGCTTAGCGCATATCCAGGAAGTGCATAAATTGTTCTTTTTTAAGCTATATTGAATTAAACAAACTTATTGAAATTAGAAATAATTGTGATTTTTCCAAAATTACGACGTAAGAGCTATAAAGCAATCTAATACATACGCTTAACGCTTACGAATTTGAGTGATTTTTTGTGGCCGTTCTGGAACCCACGATAAGAAGAAAATCCGTCCAGATTGTAGGTCTCCTTTGTCTACTATTTTGCAGTAAATAAAGTATTCCTTTGAAAACCTTTTACGGCTAAAACGAAATTGAAGAAAATTCGTTTTCTTTCAGATATAGACCCTCGTGTTATCACTTCTCATATCTCGTTAGAGTTCAATAGTGACCCCCTCAGGTTCGGCCATTTGCGTCAATCTGTGTAAGCCTGACCCTCCCGCTGTTCGGCCATTGTATGCAGAAGCGGAGATGTCCCTGTTGGCATCTGATGTAAGTTTTGTGTGCGCGGATCGGGGGACGACGAGGGGGGAGGGGAGCGCTTTGTGGTCGAGCAAAACGCCGAACAAGGAGCGGGGGGGGTTGCAGCGAGAGGTGCGCATGGGGTGGCTGGCTGCCGGCCTTGACCCGAGTTGCCGCGGGGCTGTGAGAGAGAGCGGGCGGGCGGGCTGGCGGCCGCGGCGGTCGGACGACGAAGTCGGGGGGCGAGCGCGAGGGACGACGACCGCGAGGGGAATCGGGCGAGCGCGACGACCCTCTCGGTGTGTGGATCGTTTGCACTGTGCACAGATAATAGGTGCCCGCGGCCAATAATCGATCGAGCAAATAATGGAGCGCTCCTTTGCCTCGCTTTTCTCGTCCCCGGGATAGCAGTTGTACTCGGAAAACTCTGCCACGAAGACACACATTCGCACAAACAGACTCCACAACTCGCGTACAGACAGCGAAGAGCCGCTATTCTTATGATTCTCGTTTTCATGTGTGATGTGATGTGCTTTGTGTATGTTTACCTAGTAACATCGATTCAAAACTATGCTTCTAGAGTGAACTGTGTGAATGAGAGCGCGAAAAATTTTGCTGCTACATGAGCATCGACACGCAGTTGATTACACAAGGAGCAGCCCATAGAAGAGCGGGCGGGCGCGGCAGCGCGCCAGGTTTGCGACAGGAAGAGAATTGGCTAATTCATACGTCTCGGACGTAGCGTTGAAAATGTGTGGAAAGAAGCACTTTGTTGAACGAACTTGTTTAGTGGCAGTTTTGAAAGTTTTGGCAGGTTGTGAGGTAATTCTTTAGTCTCAGTACAGCTTTGCTTTGTTGAAATAGCAGAAATCCTGCGGATCAAGCGCAGAAGAGCCGTTTTGCTCGCGTTCGGTCGGGCATGTTAGGTGCCACGTAGATGAAGTGGGAAATGCCGCTGATTACTGGCAGAGCGGGGTATGACCCGGAGACGACCTTGCGTTCTGCGTCTCTCCGAACGAGCGATGTCTGGCCGCGCGCTGTTCGCCTGTGAGCGGCGTAGTGTCTTGCCTCGCGGCATTCTGCCTGTACCATACAGCGGCGATTGGTCGCTCCTCTTCGTCACCATGTTAATACTTACTAGTCAGAAGGATCGTTCTGTCATCGACCGAATCGGTACGGCTCTACGAGTTGCTCAGGAAGGAGCTTTTAGCCCTACGCTTACCGAATCACCCGAACCCCCGACCTCACCGAGCCATCTGAAACGCCAGGCGGCGGCTATCGAGACCGCCAACAACTACAAGAAGGTCCGCTTTGAAGCCGAGACCGAGGACGATCTTTCTGACTCGGATAGCAGCTCGCTGCAATGCGCTACTGAAGAGACTACAAGCACCGGCTCTGTCAGCCCGCATCTCAATTCTGCCAGTTCTGTTTGTCTCGATGACGTATTCTGTTCGGTACCTGGCCGATTGTCGCTGCTCAGCAGCACATGCAAGTACAAGGTTACTCTCGCTGAGGTGAGTTCTCTCTTAATTTTCTCGATTTAGTTTGTATCTTCAATCCCTCTCGATTTCCTGCTAACTTTTTTTGCGAAACAAAAAACTCTTTTCCTCTCCTTTTTGACCGGCTTATTTTCCACTTCCTTGAACCTGCTTTGCAACCCACTCGCTCTAGGTCACTCCCTTCACCACCACCACCTTTCGGCACCCCTCCCAAATTGAACTCTGCGTCCAGACGGGTTGTCGAGTATTTTCGTACGCTGGTAGCCACTTGCATGAGTCGTAATACACCCACTTTAGGAGCGATGGCCTTATGAAAAATGGGGGTGCGCGGCCTTCGTATAACGTTTTATAAACGTAAAACGCAACAACAAAGCGTTCTCGCGGTTGAGAGCGCGCCAGACGGGCGGCGGTGGCGGCGGCCGGGGCGACGGGGGCGCGGCGGAGGGGGGCAGAGGCCTTGAGGCGCCGCCCCCGGGCGGGTTACCTATTATTACCACAACCCGAATCAATCGATACCGATACTGTGTGGTCGGAGCGAGCGGACGAGGGGGGCACAGAATAGAGAACCAACACAGAGACACACACACACGTCGACGACATCCAACAGCGAGGCGCTTGCGCGGTTTCGCTCAACCCAAACAAATTGACAAAATGTGCAGGCAGTACCAGTTTTCGATCACCTTTGATCTACTTTTTCAGATACAAAGAAGACTCTCTCCGCCAGAAAACTTGAATGCCTCAATCCTTGGAGGAATTCTGAGAAGGGCAAAGTCGAAGAATGGTGGTAAAGAGCTTAGGGACATGCTCGATAAGATGGGCCTTAGTCTCCCAGTGGGTCGCCGCAAGTCAGCAACCGTCACGCTACTCACCTCACTCGTTGAAGGTCACTCTAGCAAACTATCGGCCATAGCGTTTCGAAATTTCGAAATGTGATTTCTTTTCAGGAGAAGCCACACATTTAGCCAGGGACTTTGCATTCATCACAGAAACAGAGTTTCCCGCGGCTAGTTTGGCTGCTCATGTCACTGAACAACATCGAAACAATAACGAGAATTTACAAAAACGCAAAGAATGTTTGATAAATGCTGTGTAAGCAAATTTTCAGCTATTTTTAGCCAACAACTGGAAATGTTTTGTAATTATTGTTGGTTTTAGGCAGATTTTGCAAGAGTTCATCGACCTGCTGAGCTGCTCGTCCTCCACGGAGGCTGCCGCTCCCGAGACCGTACAGGCCGACCTTCGGCACTTCAGCCTGTGCACACATGGATTCGGTGCTCCGGCCATGATTGCTTCGATGCAAGCTTGCCTTAAGTAAGATCTTTGATCTACAGGAAATCAATAAATTCAATAAAACTAGAAAATGAGAAAAAGTTGTCTTATTTTTAGATATGTAAAAGCATCAATGGAGAATCTCTCACCAATAAATATGGTCCCGACATTGGATTCGGATGAAATCGACTTTGCCGCATTATATCAAAAAATGCAAATGAAGGGTGTTAATTCAAGTGTTATCAGGAGCGTTCTCAATACTCCGGCTATGTTTAACATTCCTCAGTAGTAGTAGAATCGTAATTCACATAATTTTTGCAGCATATGAAAATCCTCACCAATTTGTTTTGTGTGTTGTTTACGTATTAATAATCATTTTTCAATGAGGTGCTCCTCCCTCAAAATATGTTGTTCCTATCTAATCCGCGTTTTTTTGCTTGGATTTGTTTTTTTATTTTTTGAGTTTTTCTGAGTCGCTTCTTTGAAGTTCACTTCCATTTATCACATATTGCGCTAATAATATCGGACCAGTTAACTCTACGATTGTGGCCTCACATATCCCCATATTCGATGCCCGAGGGCATCTTCACTTTTTTCGCAGCATCTCTCTCCCTCTTGAAGTTATTTTAATGTCTCTTACTGTTTTTGGAGTGCAATGAGTGGTAACCTGTGGCGAAGAAACTGCCGCCGCGTTTTCGTGTCGTGACCATAGAATAGCTTTTTCTCGCGTCCTCTGCACTTTAGTTCCCCTACTGTTCCGCTCTATTTAGTTGTTTCTGTTCCTATTCTTGTGATACCCTAATCACTCAGTGTCAAGTGTTTTCATACAGGAGTTTCAGACTCTTCTCATTGCATAACTCTCTCTCCCCACAGTATCCACTATCATTTCCTCTTCTTTATCTTTTTTTTTCTATAAGAGTTTAAGTCATTTCTATCGTTATTAGTGTTAATTGTACTACATCATTGATATGTGCATAGATTATTTCACTTGCAACCGCCTGTCATCTAATTCACTTTAAAATAGTGTGTTTACGGGAATTCGACGTGTTTAGTGTCACTTTTCTGCCTTCGGACATGTTATTACGTGTTGAGCGATCTTGATTAGTTCCAATCGTCACTTCCTTGTTCATAAAGACCATCTTTTTATAATTAAATTCTTGTAATCTCTCCACCCCTCAGTGTTGGCACTAAAGCTTTTCGAACGGTTATTTGATCTACAGTGAAAACAACACTTTGTTTGTCAGCAAAGATGAAGGAAATACACAAGAGGGTGGTAAACAACCGGAAGCGAACGGGGCAAGTTAGGACGAGGTGAGAAAAGAAAAGTAAGGCTGAGTAAGACAAGCTTCGAAATTTTTTTAGAAAAGCTTCCAGTGTTGTGGCATCTCTGGGGATAAAAAAGGACATATACTGATGTTGATCTTCTGATAAAAAATATTTACCGTTTTCTCAAATTTTATCAAATCGAGATCATACAATTCACAAAAACCAACTAAACTTATTATTAAAAACTCCAAAGCAATTAAAATAAAAATGAAACGATGTCATTCAAAAAACAACATAAATAATCTAAAAAATATAAAAATAATTTTCGCGCACTTGTTTCATAGGTACTGTCGCTACTTAGGGTGGCTCAGAGACGTTTGCTCTATTTATCATGACAGAATAATATTAATTCTTTGGAAATAGTTGATTTTCTTTTAATTCTATGTTGAACATTTCTCACACTAAGACATTGAATATCATTTACTTTGCGCCAAGTCTAGATCACGCAACTCACAAAAATTTATTCAATACGAAATCTCACATTTAGAAGTCAAGCACTAGAGCTATGTATCAACATTTTAACCAAAATTGAACTTGAAATATTCCGCAATTTCTTGGACAAATCCACTGAAAATTCGTATGAAAATACTTGATGGTTCTAAAATTCGCCATTGATTAGGATAAGAAAAGAAAAATTTCGACGAATGTTTTAAATTCTTGGGTGCTCTGTATAGCCAATAAAAACCAACAGAAAAAAATTTATTTGCTACCCAAGTTCTATTAGGTAGTTCCGAAAGTAATGTCGCTTTTTTCAAACGTATGTCACACCTCGTGGAACAAAGATATGTAAGAGATTCTGGCAGCATTTGAAGCATCATTTCATTCTCTTTTTGATGGTGAAGCTTTTGCAATACAGTCAATGAGCTTCAAGAAAAGAGTCATAATTTGCGACCTATGCCTTTTAAGATGGCCAAGTTTCACAGTTTTTCCAAAATTTTATAACAAACCTCGGAAGGAGCTCAAGTAATGGATGGATGGAGAGAACCAAACAGGAAACAGCACAACTTTTTTCTACTTTCCAGAGCTTGTCATAATTTTTGTATAGATTTTTTGATGGAATTATCGAATTTTAGCATTCTCGCCTCAGACACAAATGCATCAAACACCAAAAAATCTTCGGATTTTGAAACTTACAAAGATGGATTATGGTTTGGCAACAATTTTGCAAACCAAACGAGCATTCACCGCTTCGGTTTAGCAACTTTCGAAAATTTCGGGTACATCTTGGGGTACGTTGGAAAAGTCGAATTATGATGATTTTATCACGGAAAACTTGATGAATGGGAACAAAAAACAACCGCTAGAAAGAGGAGAAAAAGCTGCATCGAATGACACCCGAGTCGCTTGCCGGTTTTTGTTCTGTGAGGTTTGACTTGACTAAATATGGAATTTGATGGCATTGAGAAATTGATTGTAGAAACTCTGAGAAGCAAGCTAAAGAAAAGAAAAAATTACTCTGTGTTCTATAGTGTTTGCTCTATCTGCCTGCCACTTGTACTTTTTCGGAGATTAGGTACAAAAATTTAGAAAAATAGCCGAACTTGACCCTGGCAAAAAGCATGAGTCGCAGATTTTGGTAATTTTTCGAGAGCTCATTAAACATTATGCAGTGAAATTGCAGCCACTAAAAAGAGGATGAAATGCTGCATCGAATGCTCCTAAAATCTTCTGGAAATGTTGATTCCACGAATAGTGGCGTTCATTCGAAAAAAGCGACATTACTTTCGGAGCGACCTAATACAAAACGCCTTGGGTTCTAGGAGGACAAATTTTTTTTCCAAAAATCTCCTGTTTCTCTCAAACTATATGGGGAGTACTATAGAGCGCATGGTGATTGTGGTCTTGAGTGTTTACAAAAGGGCCGATTTTTCAGTCACTACCGTTTCGGACCAGATCCCACCCGTGGGTCTTATTGCCCGAAATGGTAGTCTTTTTGGAAGGTTGAAAACATTTTCAGGAATATGCCCAGAGGACTTATCGAAAGCGCTGGATATCAAATTATGATTTACTTCATCTTTGGCATTGTACTGTAAGACTACTGCAGTCAGTCTGTAGGAAACCAACGTCATGGATTTTCACGAAAAAATTGTGTTTTGGAGTTTTCACGTGCTGATCACGACTATTGTATCCATCTTGTTCACTACTGTCCACAGTGGGGCTACGACAGCAGTACGGTGGAATTTCCGTAAAAATTAAAAAAACGGACGATATCAAAACTTGAGACTAACATTTAATCAGCATGCTATAAAACCCGTATATGTAAGATTTCAGCTTCCTGGAATGAACAATGGAAAAAAAATCAATAAAATTAATGAAATCGATGATTTTGATGGGCTAACATCAGTCTCTTACCCGTACCGTAATTCTCGTACATGGACACTTGAATGTTCTGAAACAGCATAAGTCTGCGAAGAATTTAGCCAAAGTCTATGCCTTCTCTCTATCTACGGTATACCTACAGTAACATTACATACAGTATCCCGAACCCGAACTACTCTGGCTGGTGCTTCGCCTAGCTGTCCCCAATCATGTAGAACTCCGTAAGAGTCCATCGCAAACTGGCAAAGCTAGAGCTTCAGGAATCTGCCGACCCACCGGTGGGTCGTATCGAAATGGCAGAACATGTACGACCCACTGGTGGGTCGTACTGCTATGAGTGTGTTAAAACATGTGTCTGACGTCAATAAACTCTCTGTCAAAGTAAGAAGTAGTCCCTATCCAATGCGTTTGTTTTTTTTGTAAAGAAAAAACATTGCTCAGTAATCCAGTATGTAATTCACTACCAACTGAATGTCTGTGTTGCGCATAACTTTGTTTTTACACTAAAATACAGGAACAAAGTTGATTGAGAATATGTAAAATGTACTGCACTTATTCTGACACAGCATCAATACTGAAACCTGTTGACGCCCAATAGAGAATAAAAATGGTGTGTTTTGATCTTATTCGTTTTAGGATGCCAGATAGAAGATTTTATGTAAATAATTAATTTTGAGCCTAAGGACAGCTTTTGAAGCAACTTCCTGCAACAAGGTAAATAGAAAAAAGCAATTTTATCGTCAAATTTAGAATCTTTGCAGAAACATGTTGGTTTTTTAATTTGATCTTCATTTTTCGACTGGTATTCCTATTTTTTTTTATTAATGAGTACCCAGGAGATCGTGAAACAAGCCTGCCTTATTATGAAATGCACACACAATGAGGTTATTCTTCGTTAATATTAGGATAATGATATCCATATGAAATTATTTGTGCATATCATTGGGACCATCAGAATATCTTTAAATAAGGCGAGGTCTATGGTGGGAAAGTTTCGCTTTCAACGACAAAAATGTGCTTTTTGATCTACATTGTAAAACATTGGCACTGAACATAATATTGAGCATTTTGTTGTCCATTTTACTTCATCATACTCTAATGCCTCAAAGTAAACATTATAAAGGGAGGAATCTGTATATTGCCAATTAGAACAGATTATCTATTTTATGAAAATCTATATCTAAATTTGAATATTTGTATTTGTAATTATTTAAATTTGTATCTAAATTTGAATTTCTTTTCTTTCAAAGAAGAATTCATGATGACAAAAGCTAGCATGTACCCTTTAGGAAGTTTCTACCAGATAGGCACTATAGTTTTTTTTCCAAAATGAATGATACTTCAAGACAATTTTCATCTTACAACGGATCAAACTTTTTGCTTGAACAAGTTAAGCACATTTGGTTTCTCCAAAAGTTTTGCTTGAATGATGGTGGTAAAGGCTATGGTAATATGCTTTGTTAGCTATTCATAAGTGAAAGAAGAAAAAAGTTCGATAGCAGTTCTATACCAAAGCCACTATCCCACCTCATTTAACTTTGTCATATGTCTGCATCTATAAAGTAGTGAAAAAAGCTAAGAGAAACATGAAATCAGAATTCGCTAAACATAGTCAGCATCTTCAGTGAACGTAGAAGGTTTAAAAATTATATTTTGAAAGCTGTACAGAAACTGACAAAACACACTTATTGAGATGGACATACGTGAACCGCTTTACCTACTACATTCAGTCCCAAAATATCATCTACAATGCAAAAGGTAGAAATGAAACATGGAGATTTCGTTAATTTTAGGTTTTATCCTCAATAAACTTTAAAGTATATGATTTTGCCGAAACATCCCCTTTTACCTGGAGCTTTAACAGAAACCCTTCAGGCAACCAAGCTCATCTTTCTGACTTTTTATTGATCGTGAAAAATGTGCTGATCAATTGATTCAAGAGTGCTAAACATGCTACTGACAAATACAAGTGGGTTATAAAAATAACTGAGTTTACTGCGAGTTTTCATCGACCGTTCATCTCCATACTTCAAAACTCCTTGCACTCAGGATCATGTAGTGTGGGCTAGATAGTCAGCACAATTATCAGATGTTTCTATTAATTTTCTAATTCTAATTTCCACTAAATTTCTACTGATTTCTACTAATTTTTTCCTATTTTGTTTAACTCCTGCGATTGAGACTGGCTGGGTTCTCGTTTTGTTCATAGTTGTTTTGTCTATTTTTTTCTCACTTATGGTGCACCATGAGTGTATTAAAATAAAAAAAATAATTTAGAAAAAAGTGAAATGGTGAAGAAAAGAGGTTGGCCACTGGAAATCGTCTGAAAGATATAAGGAAAATTGAAGCATGTGGCTTATGATGCAGTATTTTTATAGAGATGTATAAATAAGCAACAGATCTCAAGAACTTAGGATATGAAGCTTTCAAAATGCGCTCCCCCCCCCCCCCCCCCCGCATTAATTGCTGCGGTACTAAAGATATCTCATCAGAAGAAAATTAGGAGGAATTTATTTTTCAAAAATGGGGAAGAGTGCGCTGGAAATTCTTTATAAATGAAGGGGATGACGCGAGCAATACGTTCTGAAAATATTTTCGGGATCATTTCCAAGCTTGAGCTCATCACCCATGAGTTTTCAAGTAAACCTAGTGGCCGGGCAGGTTCACCTTATACAAAGCAAACTAACAATAAGTAAAATTTGTATTGATTATCGACAATGAAGTAAATTACTTGCGCTATTTTGTACGAGTCAGAGAATTGTTATATTTTTTTCAGCAAGCAATAACCCTAGCGATTTTCTGCGGATTGGAATCGGTATGGCAGTTCAAAGAAAAGTGCAGCAAAATGCTAAAAAGCTATATTTTGAAATTGGTCTTTACGTACATACTACAGCTAGAGTATTTCACAGGAACATGAAAACGACCGCATGCTGGAATCTACATTGCTTACATAGAGAGCGAGAAACAGGAAGTTTTTTTACCCGAAAGCTGCCTGCAAAAAATGAGGATTTTGTAAATATCGGGCTGTCCCAGGATAATTTCATATCATTTGTAGATTGTATTAGAATCCTGATTAGGGTACCATTAGATGGAGCAAAGCAAGCTCTACGAGATATGTAACCAAGATATAATAAAATTAAATAATCAAGGAATCGCATCTCCGTCCATAAAATTCCTGCAGACCACCAATATGATTAGATATGTACTTTCTACATTAGACATTCACGAGTGTCAAATTTTTTATGGCAAAAATACGAGAAACAAAAATAGGCCAAAAGCGCGAATATGCCGTTTTTGGGTTAATTTCTTTGGTAAATTTTGTACTTCTCGAAAAATAGCTTTTATAGAAAGCTGAAAATTCATGGTTGTACTCCAAAAGGCTTATACTATAGCATCAATCACCTGGGAGAAACGGACAGCTTTGCCAGAAGCATGCCAAAATTCGCTTTCTTGATTTTTAACCATGGAAAAATCGAGAAATTGTGCTTACAAGTGTTGGATGTAGAAAATGTATGCGTAGCAAGTGAAAGATTTCAAATACTTTTATGAGGAGATACGTTTATTCGGGTTTTCAGGCATTTAAAGCCTTCCAAAAACTGGCTTCAAACTTCACACACATCAAATTTATTACGAATATTCGACATACAGTGTGTTCCAAAAAATGTACTCACTGTTTGATTGTAAATAACTCTCTTGTAATGAGGTGTTTCGGGAAGCATTAGGTATCATTTTGTAGAGCTGGCTTCAGCTTAGATCTACAGTATGGAGCGAATTGCCGATTGCTCCTCATTACTGTAGGATTACGGTACAAACTTGAAGCATATGGTGTCACTGTGAAAAAAGCTGCGGTTTCAAAAATTTTCAAAAAAAAATGTGAAGAATTGTGTAATTGGGTTCAATGGACGCCGAGTTCAATACTCAGTTAGGTACAAGGTTGCGAAGCTTTTTAAGCGGTATAATTGCAATTTTCGGGAGCATTGGAAAAACGGCCAGTACTGCTTACCTCGCATAACTTTTTATTGAATCATGATAAGCTGCGAACTTCACAATTGAAACCAGCAACTCTAATTAGCGCAGTGTGAGACCTTTCAGGTTGTTTTGTTTGCTTTCCGAGGCAAAATATGGCCTTTCATGGCTCAAAACCTTCTTTAAATTTCCTACCGTAATCCTACAGTAATGGAGAGCAGTCGGTCATTCGCTCTATATTGTAAATCTAAGTTGTACCTCGCTCTACAAAATGGTACCTAAAGCTTCTCGAAACCCTTCATTACAAGAGAGTTATTTACAGTCAAACAGAGAGTACATTGTTTTAGGACACCCTGTATATTTTGTAGCCATATCAAATGGTACCCGTTCACTTTTTCCCTTGTTCACTCTGTCACAATCTTGTTTGATAGTAGATGATGCGACATTATTTTTGGGACAGCTTAATAAAAATTTGAAATAAATCATGCGCAAAATATATGATAGATAACCAAACGACATTCCTAAGCATTTTGTAGTACCTACACTTCACTGCTCTGCATTGCATTCAACTGCGCCAAAATTATTGGCGTGTGTATTCTGCAGTAAACTCATACAAAATCAGCTCAGCAGGAAGTAAAAACAATTTTATCTTCAGTTTCCTCAAGCACTCTACAATAAGAATTTGGATTACTAACTGTAGTTTCACGAATATTTCAGGAAATCTTAACGGCAAAATTGTGCGAAACGTGCAGGTACCGCATTAGTTTCATGAATATTTCAAGAAATCTTGGCGACAAAGTTGTGCGCAGCATGCAGGTACCGCTTCAAAATTCCGTTCCGAATCTTCAGGAAATTACTTCTTTCATTAATAGAAAGCGCAGCAGGATGGAGCAGAGTTCCGCTACAACATATTATGAGAGAAAATTGTGCGCGTTCAGAGGGAAAACTTTTTGGTATCCTGGATTCTGAATCACTATATTCAGGGGTATGAAAATGCGCGAAAGAAAAAACAAAATGCGACTCCATATCAGTTTCGAAGTCATTTCACATTAGATTGGCTGGTAAATAATTACGGTCACTTTTGCGACTTCTACAGATGCTGCAGACAATATTTGTCTAGTATTTGGTACCTTTGGGAAAAGCACTTCAACAAGAGTTGGGCATGAAGTTGTTTAAGTAGTGATTATTTTGCAATAAAAGATATCCGCAAAGAAGGGGGAAACCCCAATTCCTTCACTTGCGCAAATATAAGAAAATTTGGTTTTCGGCTAAAGACTGAAAATGGCACATCAATTTTTTTGGTAATCACTAAGTAGGGAAAACTTGTTTGTATCCAGATACCAAAGTGCTGTTTTCTACATTCATTAAAGCATAACGAAGCTTAGAAAGTTGCAAAACTAAGCTTTTGGAATTCAAGGCATGTTGTGGCATAAGTGTCCCCCACCGATAATTTAAGACTCTGAATAGCTTATATGTGATAGAGAAAGCTTTGATCTACTTACCTACAAAAAATCATGGATGAAGAACAACTAGGTAAGTTTCTATGGAGCTTCTCATGCTAAAACGAAGTTATTTTTTAGCCAATGTAATAGATTGTCACCTAGAGACAAAGTTTTTAGACCGAATGACTGCTTGTTTCTACAGCTTTCTTCCTTTCAAAGAAAAAAGGCAATGACATGCAAGTGCGTAAAATCCGCAAAATTTTCACTAAATTCGATAAAACAGTTTTCAGCAAATCCAAATACAGCTATTCGTCTGCATTATGGACATGAAGCTGTTAGACTTTTCAAGATTTATATGTACAAACTAAATTGTAAACATAAATAATTAGGTTTTCGCACTTCCCAGAAGTGCTGCTTTTGTGCAAACACATATGACGATCACCTTAAAAACATGAAGCTGAAGTAGAAGTTGCTTTCAGAATCCTCTATCATGAATCTGACATCAAAGCTAACGGTAGTTTTATGTGGCATTGCTGCAAAGTTGAATCTAATAATTTTGAGCACCCAGAATGTAGTTTTTCATGGAAAATTTGTCAAAAATGTTGAAACAAAATTGACAAGTTTGATTGGAGCGCTGCTACATGCTCTTCATTGATAAACCTGTACAGTTTTTTTTTGTCAATCATTAGGCATCGGATTTTGGTTGTTTTTTATGATTACACGAATACACAAAGCTGGATCAGTGATAGCATAAACGAGAAGAAAATGACCAAAATCTTTACATGATGATTCGGATATGAATTATCTGTTATGAGAAGGAAGATGATGGACTAAATTGAAAGCCGTCATTGCAGACTGTACCTCCGGGACTGTGATGTAAAAATTCAAGGTAAATTACGGTGCTTGAAAAATTCCAATGCATGATCACCTTTGAACCTACGCTCAAACATATGCTTAGATCAACATTTTTCTGATTGTCTAGAATAAAGAGTAATAATTCCGCTAGTATTCAGATAACTTTTTGCAACCGTCCATGCATACTGACAAGCGGACAATTTTTGTGACATACGCCCATCTCTTTCTCAATATCTAGTCTATTCTAATTCATAGTCTTAACACTTATGAACCTTTTTTCTATGATTACGTATAATCGACTGATAATAAATGTCAAAGAGCCCAGGAACATTATTTCCACATTTCCATTCTTTGATTTTCAACAAGACTACATGCCTTTACCTCAAAAAAAAACTGAAAAGAGATATCAATGACAGTTTTGTCACCCGACTGCGTGGTCTGACTTACTTGCAAAAATCGTTTGGTATTTACTGTCAGCGTCATTTTACTCATGAAACATGCACGAGTATACAATCTTCAAATTTTTACTGGCAATATGCTTTATTCACTTGCTGAAAATGGATAAGAGAGAACAAGTTCTGTAAGCACGAGGAAACAGACCCATTGAGTTTTTCTAGCTCGTAAATGGCAAGCGTGAATCAAAAACTCAAAAAGACTTTGCATGTCATTTTTAGGCTAATACTTATTTTCGCTGATGCGATAGTATCGAGTGAATACGAATAGGCCTCAGAAAGCTTTCCAAGTTACGCAAGAATTGAGAAAAAGTGTCATGAAAAACCCACTCACGAGGAAAAGCGAACTGCGACTTCTGCTCCAGAAAAGAGCTGATTCGAAGTCGGTGATTGCGACTCGATTAATCTGCAGAAGCAAATTCTGTTCCTTTTCAGAATGTACACTTCCGAACACATGCATAACCTTACACCAAGTAACTAACAGGCAACGGCCAAAAACTGCTACTAAACAAAACAATGTTTATTATGCAGTTTATTTCAAACAGATCTCGTCTATATATGTGATAGAAGCCAATTCAGCGCTTTTCTGTTGCGCTAGCACATCGAGCATAATCACATCGTAAAATGTAAGGAGCAGATACAGCGAAATGAGATCGAATGTACAACTGGTGAATTTAGATAGGCAGATTATCTCTCGTTTTTTGGGTTAAGTTAGATCCACGCTCAGAGTGTGCAGTACGAGAGGGTTACGACAGCGAGGTGCAGAGACCAATAGAATGGCTTATCATTAGCTTACAGCGAAGACAGAGATAACTTGGATTGAGTTAGAACTCAATTTCTTGGCCTATATGCGTTTAAGCAATCTGTTAAACAAAAGAAAAGAAAAACATGAACATTTCACCGAATAAATGACAATTAAGGTAAATCAGTGTGCAAATGCCGGATTCAAAAAAAGTTAGTGAATCAGAAAGAACGAAATTGCGCATTTCGTCCAGCATGAAGCTAGCGCAACAAGGAGGGTAACAAATGAAAGTGAAAAAATGCCAAAAAGAGAAAATTGCAAACATGCTGGCATCACAGTATAGGTAGTGGTGATGACACAGAATATTTCAAACAAACACTTATTTTTCGATCTGCACCGTGAATGTCCCACAACTGCCAACGACTGTGCGCCTTAGCACAACCATAATCACACGGGCAATTGTAGCTGAATTTCACTATACCAACAACTGAAAATGAGAAAACTTAAACAAGTGAAAAAAATGAAATTTAGACAAGTGATAGAAATGAACAGTTACAACAATCCATTTGAGATGAAAATGCAGAAAAGAACGCACAATAACAACTTTGAACAACTCATCATAAACTGCGTTTTCGTGGCTTTTTCGCCCAAAACGTGGAAAAATGCGTGACAAATATTTGACCAAGCAGCATTTCCAAGGGTAATTTCGCTTTCGTTAGTAAAGGTGCAGTTATTACATGACCTAACTTTGAATCTGGAAACGTAATCTGACTTGATTTGATTACAATCTTTTGTGAATTCTAGCTCTTAGCACGGAGATAAAAACTGTAGATGATTTTAGAAATAGAGTCTCAATACCAAGTTTTTTTTTTAACTTTCAAGGGCCCATATAGCAATATGTCAAGACAAAGTTCTGCGAAACAATCATTCAATGCTATGAATTTTAGTGTCAACAAGTAGGTTGTTCTACTGAGCAAAACGAAAGGTTGAAACGCCAAAAATCATCACAACGTATTTCATCATGTACAACGTAACCTATATCGATATGGATCGAGAAACAGCCAATCGTGCAATTGTAAGGCCCCCGAAATAGGAACTCGAATTAGAGTAAGAAAACACTATAATGTACTGAAAAGTTCAGCATTTTTGTTTTTGCTTTCAAAGTTCAAAATTCACAAAAACAAGACGCTGAGAAACATACCTAACCGATAAATTCTACCCTGTTATCATGGTTGCATTCGAAGATTGATTAGACCAGGCGTTAGGTTGCGGTTGACCATACCCGTACCCTAAAAAACTACACTTGCAGTTAATTTTCTAGATTAACGAAATCTCGTGAAGAATCAGTAGGGCTACCTTGTGGAGGTGGATGGCCATTTTGCGGTTGACCTAATTGTGTGAGTTGTTGGTTGGCAGATGGAGGCATTCCTGGACCCATTTGTCCAGGTCCAATGGCGCCACCTTGTACCATTTGTGGACCACCAGGAACGAGTGGACCACTTCCACTCATTTGTGACCCACTTGGAGGACCCATAGGTGGACCGCTTTGCATGCCGCTCATACCCGGTCCACCAATATGGCCGCTTGGACCCATGGACTGCATCTGGAGCTGGAATGGATTGTAGAGTAATTATGAAATGCTCAAGGTGAGAAATGCGATGATGTTTCGCAATCGACCTTCGCCCCAGACTTTCCGACCGTTGATTACCATGCAAACCTATTACCAAAAATAAATTCTACATTGTATAAATTTTTCGCCAGAAAACTTGCTATCAAAAATATGTAGGCGTTCTCGCAGCATCCAAAAACTTTTGCACTATACAAACAACCTAAAAATACGATCATCCCACTGATATGCTAGTGCAATGGAAGTTCCAATCTATTCACTACCAAACCAATATTGTGGGGCGAACAAAAAAGAGTGCAAATGAATTGCAAAGGCACCTGCAGCGCATTCGGGTCGTATTGAGCATTTTCAACTCGCGATATCGTTCGCTCGTCCTCTTCACCATAGTCTCCTCCCATCATGGATGGCTCCCCTACCACCATGACGTCCTGGAAACCCATCGACGAAAACTAAAACCTCCAATGAAAAACTGTCTAACTAAATGAAGAAAGCCGGAGAGAATTATTAGAAATAAAATCCTTACGTTGCCAGGCATAGGATTGGACGGAAAACCGGCATTTGCCGGTGCTGGACTAGCATTAGCCTTCTTGTTCTTATTGTTTGCAGTCGTCTTCCGTTGTCGTTTTCGAGCTGGCTTTGGCTTCTGCTCTTCAACAGTTGTGGGAGGTAACATGGATGGTTGGTCTGAAGTAACCAGGGGTTGCAAAATATTACACACGATTACTGGTATACAGAAATAAGGAAAACTTCGACAAGAAAAAACAAGGTCAACAAAACGAACAGCTTAGAACGGCAACAGTTCTCGAAATGACTCTCGCCATATGCAAACATGTAAAAGCTAAAACTACAAAAGCTTACTCATATGTTGCATTGCCATTTGCTGTTGTTGCTGCATCTTCGTATGGTGAGCAAACAGCGTACGAGTCATAGCATCTCTGGGCGAAAGCTAAAAATATACATATCAGAAGAGAAGACTATTGTTATGGATTAATAAGGGATGTACTTTATTAGAAGTGCACATATAATGTGCATTAGGGCTCCCATCATAGCAAACTCGACATCATAAAAGCATAAGTGGATTTCAATTATCACAAACAAAACGGACTCAGGTAAAATGACTGCAAAAATAGCTTGAGTAAGAGCTGTTTTCTTTGCTGCTGACTCTAGAGTCACAGAGAGGACAACATTTGAACTGATTTGGCTCTGCTACAACTCGGTCGAATTGCAACAATTTAACAAATAGTTCAAATAAAGAATGAAAACAACTTCTTTCTTAAGCGCACAAAGGCCCGCAACATGTATTACAATCTCTAACATGATCTTAGATCTTGGTATAAAAAAATACGTACCCCTGAAGTTTTGCTTTGACTCATCAACATTTGCATAGGCTCCAAGATGCGACTCATCGATAAGCATGCCATGGTTTGCAAGGGCATACCAACACGCGTCAAAGGCAAAGATTTTTCCATACCATCAGGATGGTGAATCTCATACTCCTAAACGGAATTTAATCATCCCAACAAATTGATATAATCACTTTCAACATCTGCGACAAGAATAATGGCATACAATAACATTCAGAAAAGTACACATGTGCGAAAAATGGCACCATGAAAAAGAAATGGGTGGTATAAATGTACCTTCGTGATTTCATTCATGAAGAATTCTTGGCAGCTCTCCAGCTCCATGCTCCAAGTCCGTATCCGGTGATTCAGTATTTCGTCGTAAGGGGTGAACTCGATGAAGAGCTTGAACTTGGTTTGCACCTAAGAACAGAAATTAAGGTCCACAACTAAGCGATAAGCTTCGAAGTGCACGCATGGCAGACCCCTAAAAGATTCAAGAAAGCTCAAATCGGATAATCAGCTTAGAACACGCGAAGAAAAAGTATTGGGAAGCAAGGTGAAATGGAAAAACTGAATTTGCGCACACTGTGTGAGAACATCAAAGCACACTAACCTCTGCATTGGGAATGTCGTGTTTTGTGACCTGGAGCATGTCTTGATTCTCATAATGTATCATTCCAGAAGGTGTTTGTGACTCGCGAGACTGTCCACGTATAACAAAATACATTTCTCGAATCTTGCTTTCAAAGAAAGAGCGGAAAAAGCGAGGTATAAGTTGCCGACCCAACACTGAATTTAAAGTATATAAATAGGTGAGCAAACTCGAAACCTTGGACAAAAATGCGTACCGTATTTCTCCGAATGAGGACTGTGTTCATCTACTATATTTATCCATAATTTCGCATCATCGTCGAAAAACTCGTGGGAAAATGCATCCCACCACTGAGCAAAGTCTTTCTCGCAAATCTGTAATTCAAATCGTTCGGAGAAAGTGTATAAACAATACGAAAGAACTTCTATTTAGCCATTCACATAAATTCGATCAGCACATTTTTTTAGTGAATAACTGCAGATCATTTTGAAAGGCGAACGCAACAAAATAATAATTCCAGTGTAATAAGCACACGTAACAAAAGGCAAGCACGCATACGCGATGCTTGACGCCTGGCAAAAAATGCTCCAGAAAATAATAAAATGTAAATCAAAGCAACCTAAACATCACATAGTGAACAAAAACGCACCCCGGATGAGTTAAATATATACAGGCGACGATTCATTTCGTGGATGCGAAATTCCAGTGGACTTGGAACAGCATTCATAGGCTGAGGTTGTCCAGGAGCAGACATTTGCGCACCGGCTTGTGAAGGAGGAGCCATTTGCCGCATTCTAAAACGAGATAACTTGTAGTTTTTGTAGTTAATTGTAAGTTAAGGAACACTCTTAGGAATAAGCTTGTCCTTGGTAAAATTTTTGTAAGATAAAATATGCACTCCAATCGGGTGAACTTTCTTTGAGATGAAAATGATATTTCTTGCACGCTAGAATTGCTATGGCATTTTTATTGCACCACTGAAAGTTCCCGTGCCGAAAAATCATCCATGAAGACTCACGATGCAATTACAACAAGTTAACTGGCTTGTAACTAGCCTCAAAGCACACTGCAAACAGGCGACAAATAAGTTAAGTTTTGTGCAGATCACCTGCACATCGTGCGCTTGACCACGCTTATTAATGCAGACCAAAAATTCTGAAGGCTACTGCATGAGAAGGCGCAGAAGCAGTGTTAGTTGAGTGGACGCGAACGCGGCGCGCGCGTATACCGTTGTAAATCCTCGTCTCATGCGCTCTGCGGTTAATAAAGCCGCATTCGCGTCCAAATATATTGCGCCCTCGTCATGCAGCAGAACATAGTAATTCTTCAAACCGTTACATTAAGATATTATGTGTCACTAGATACCCATATGTTGGGGGCAGGGTTTTTATCATCTCTAGACACAGCATTTTTTTAACCCGTTATCCATTTAGGTACGACTTACAGTAATGGTCATTACGAAAGTACCGTTACCCTAGGAATGGGAACAGTACTTTCGTAATGACCGTTAAGCTCACTGATATCAATGAGAAAACCATATCTTATCCGTTCGAGTGTTGTGCTTTCAATAAGATAAATATGCATAACAGACCATAACGGTTGAGGACTACATTTATATTGTCTATTTACTGAATCACGAATTCTCTTCACTTTTCATCATTCATAGCTTTGCCGGACTATACATTGTATAGAATTTTGCTATATAGCTCATTCTTTTGTACGCTTATGGCACATTCGGCATGCACCAACTAGTAAGAGTTACCTCAACACAGAGAGACATCACGTTTTACTTTTCTTCTTTATTAAGATTTTGGGATAATTATTGTATTAATAGAGAAATTTGAGAAATACGAGCGATGCAAAAGCTGCTTTGTACTCGTATAACAGCAACATAATGTTCCTTCCTGAAAAGAGGCAGTAATACAGTGCATTAGCTGCTTGACAGTCACCTCAAAAATCTTATAAAATTAAGACACTTGAAATGTAAAGGATTGCTGCGGTGCTAGAGTCTGTGTCATTCACGTGCTCCCCCTTTCTGTAAGCGCAATCGCCAAGCCAGAGCTTTGCGCCACGTCGCGCACGTATAGTCTGGGCAGTCGAATGGCCTCATCAATTGGACGTCTGCACGCAAGGCCCTCACTTAGCGCAAGCGCAGTTCCTACACAAAGGGGAATACGTAATCGACACAGACTCAAGAAAAGTTGTTATTTGAAAACTATCAGATCTCATTTTATTGAAGGCAGCCATCAATCTTTCTGAACAGGAATTATTTACAATTTCTCGAAATCTTAGAGACTAACCAAAAGTCGGATTCACCCTCCAGTGAAAGTTTGATTTGCTCCTGACACTTTCCAGAAACTTTTGCCCTGTACCACAGTTCTATACTCATCTGCAAAATTGCAGTTATCATATGTTCCGTGTACCAAATCATGAGTGGAACCCGAGCCGTTTTGTGTTACTGTTCGCGCAAAATCCGTGATAGAGTTCATGAAAAGTTTGCACGGGTTTGCGGTTCAGCGTTTCAAAATAAAAATATTTTGAAAAAGTGCAGTCAAGCGAACACCTCCCACAAATAGCGCAGCACTTTGACATACCACATTCGCCGTTATCAACAATCGTATGAGAGCAAAGCCATCGCTGGAAAACACAAATCTTTTTTTAAATTTTGCTACGAAAATATGCCTGTGTCAACAGCGCTAACAGTTTCTTATGACCTACAAAGTACTAGCTTTATTTATTTTCATGACAGCGCACGTCCGCTACCACAGCCGCTTACGCATGGCGTAATGAACGTCCAAAATATAAGTAATCGAACAATTTCTAAATTCTACTCATAGTCTAAAAGCTGATTTATCATCGTCACATTGAAACGTTACATTGAGCTTGTAATCTGGTATGGAAGCTCAAAAAACATTTTTCATTTTACCATAAAATTTCAAAAAAATTTATCCAATCATCAATGCAAAAAAGATGGGTTTTAAATTTTGTACAAATCATAAGTTTGACAGATAGTTGCTAAAAATAACCTCATGATCTGAAAGCATACCCCAACTTTCAGATTATTAGAGAATTCCACCACTAGCCGATAGCTTCAGCTACCCGTCATACAACTTCTTGCCCAATTCCACCGTATACAGTCGAACCATTTCATATGATCATGTGTGTCACTGCACACACTGTCCACCTTAGGCGTCCCCGAGCATATGCCCCTTTAGGTCAGCGTTTTCAGTGTTTTCTTTATGTATCGTCATGTTTGATTCCTTTTTAGGTGTAATCTCACAAAGTGATGTAAGTGATAACGATCAGTCTCTTGCGTTTTAGCGCTTGCAGATCCAGGATCGCCAAAGATGGACGTTGTGTGCAATACACACATGATCATATGAAATGACTCAACTGTTAACTAAGCAATTGACTTTTGTCAAAGCTTTTGCATCCCCAATTCATCATAATTCTCTTTCCGAACATACACATATTCTTGACTGTCGCAAGCGCTAAATATGGCGCAGAACACGTCAGAACGCTCTGCATTGATCGTGGGTGTTTGTTGTGTGGATCGTCGCATAGCGGGGGCCGGGGGGGGGGGGGGAACAATGTTCGCAGCCCCCGGGTCGGAATTAGCGGCTGACTGGCAACAGGAACAGACTGCGATCCGACACAATTCGTACTAGTCCAAAAATTAGCCCCACTGTGAAAAGAGAGCTAACAACATGGAGGGTTAGATTTCTTTGTTAAATAGAGGAAAACAAATTCGAAAATTTACGATAATGCCAATTCTTCAATCTTCTAAGCTAAGATTGAATCATATCCTTTTCTTTGAAAACCCTTTGTATCACCTCATTCTATCTGTCTCCTACAAAGTCTAGCTGTTTTTTTTTGACTTAAAAAAGTAATAATCCTATTAATGACGCCAGCACAACGGTTGTGGTTGTTCTTAAATGCTGTCACCCACTTAGCAATAATTTGAACTAATTGTTACGATACACTATAAGTAAAAGAAGTAGAAAAAATAAAAAAAGGAATATAACTCGTGATTCTTATTTCACACATTCAAATTATGAAGAATACGTGACTATGAGCTTCAGAAGGAACAAATTTCCAACAAAAGAAAAACCAAAATAATGTGATTACAGCAGAAGACTAATCTTTTAGATAAGTGATTTTTTAGATATCTGACTAACGTCAAAGTGACAAATTTGTTACAGACTATATAGGAAGACTCTAGTCATATAGACTTATTACAAGAAGTGAAGCAACTTTGAAGGCTGATTTCATCACTCTTTAAAAAAAACAATGGTCACTTTCCGAATTAAAAAATTGCAAATTTATCACTAATAAGTAGATTAACGATATGACGATATGACTGAAAAAAATCAAACAAAAAATGCGTATAGATAGTGAACTGATTGAAAAAAGTGCCTCAAAAGCATATCACAAAAGCATATCATATTCTTCAGAAAGCACTTCTTTCAAGCAAAATCCTAAAATTCAAGCAGAGATCTCACTATAGCATTTTGTATAGGTCCAGATGAGGTGTCTGAACCTCTTCGTAAAAAAACCACTTCGAGACATTTTACAAAAATTCAACTGACAAATCAAAATTTAATTTTGAGCACAATCGCATAACACATTTTCGCGAATAAAACGCTGAACAGTCCTTTTGGATTTCAATATCTATCTGTATATTTGATCTTATGCCATATTCACAACCCTAGTGAACCCTGATTTCCTCAAATAAGCGGTAGAAACTGAGCAAGCATCGGGCTAGATTCTCCCCGATACGGTTACGAACGCGAACGCGACTAAGCCTAAGTGGGTGACAAACAATCCTCAACAGAAATGTTCGCTTAGACACTACATAGCAAAAGAAGAAGCATCTCGTCTGCTTTTCTTTCGGACCTTTTACATTTTGACAAGTTAAGATGCCAAAGGACCGTAAGAAGATAGTGGGTTTGACTAAACACTAATTTCTCGGTTTTCGACCTCGGTTTGTAAAATCGCTATAGATAATTATATACAGATATATGGTATCATTTGAAAAGTAAATCAAGGAGAATCGGGAGGTCAACTCTATTTGAGCCACAATTATTGCTTTGCCAGCGAAATTGTACAGGAAATAAAACCGATTTTTTGCACCAAAGATCGAGAAGGGGTTCTTTGGTAGATGGGCTACGAAGAGACGTAATTGTTTTTTTTTCTGATACAAAATTTTGCGTCATATAATAGTACTGGTTCAAAGCTGCGCTCCCATAAAGAAGTTCAGCGAAATAACGAATCCTGAATTTTTATAGAGCTTAAATTCGCAAGTTTGAGCGAAATCATTCAAAGAGTGCCCCTAACTATCCTCGAGTCATTTATAACTCAATATGTGAATCTACACACTATGCGCTGCGACTGACGACACCTTTTCTGTTGACTCTTCAATTCAAGCTATTCTAGCTCAAAATATTGCAGAAATATTGGGAAATATTGACTAATGCATATCCCATAAAATCAGAAGAGACAAGTAGACATGTATTGGATTGGACGCCTTGTAAGATTGTGGATCACAGGATTGCGCACAATCTTACAAGGCGTCAAGTAGCGCGCGTTGTGTGCAATACGCATATCGAGTTTGAATGACTCCAGAAGAATTTTAATGATGATCCCCTCCACCACAAACATTATTTGATTAAAATGAAATATGTCCTACATCATAGGAGGTTGTGGCGTGTTACTTTGAGGTGGCAGCATGTACGGGCTATTCGCTTGTTCGGGTCCCGTGAAAGTCGGTTGTGCACCAAATGCAAAGCTGAAGTCTTGTGTATACATGCCAGCATCGTCGACCATGATGCCATTCGACTGCATTAGAGGTTCGTATACAGTCGAGTCCTGCTTAACCACGTCTGCTTCGACTTTCTTCTTACGAACGCGCGGCGCTTTGGGCGCGACGGGGGCATCCGGATTGCGCCGACGTGGCATCAGTCCTTTAAATGAAAGACATATTGAGAATCTTCAGAAGCGATCATTAGTAGCGTTAAAGTCATATAAAGAACGAGAACTGTGAGAATTTTTTCGTGGGCAAAAAAGAATATGCTCACAGCATAGACAATGAGAAGTGAATGAGAGCGAAATCATGAAAAATGCAAAGATCCAGAATGAAAATATGAATGAATCAGGAGAGAATAATGAATTCATAAGGATGGATCTACAAAAACCGGATTAACCAAAACTCAAGAAAATTGCAGCTAGGAATTAAATTCCGAGAAAAATCTCTATTGGAAAGCAATTATCATTGTAACATAGATCACCAAAGTTCATAAACAAAAATTGTTACATCACTTTCTCTTTATAAAAACTATGTCACAAAGAGTATATGTCAGTACAGCAGAGTGTAAAAAATATGCAGTGCACTGTTTTCGGCAATCCATGTAATTAAAGCGAAAGGTGTGAAATAGACCAACCGACTTGACACATTATCAGAAGCGATAATTCTAATTCTAATCGATTCTCTAATCTATTGCAAATTCTGCAAAATATGGAAAAGTAGGTCAAAAAAGAACGTACGTAACAGAAAGTTTAGTAAAAAAATGACATATGAGTTCAAAGCACTATACTTGCAAATTAAATTACTACAACGATACTCGATCTTGAAGAAGACTTGTCAAAGAGGATATTGTGATTAGTGACATACGCAACATAAAAAAGTGTGATTTTACAAATCAAACAAGTTTAGTGAAAAAAACCAGTGCATTTGATATGTGAAAACAGATATAGGGATAGACAAGTGACCACGCCTTGCACAAAAAAAAACAACAAAAAATTGCACACGTTATTAATGTGATTTTCAGCTAGATCCTGCAGATTTTCCATTATTAAACAGAATTTAAGATAATGAACTATGGAAATCTTAGTTTATAGAGCCGCACGACAGCAAAGAAAATGAATTCTGATTTTAAATACCAGCTACGGACAAATTTACAAGAAGTTTCAATTGGTTTTCATACGTGGTAAAGTTTAACTAAGAAGAAAGTTTTTGATAACTGAGAGAGGTATTAATTTCTTTTATCTCGTTCAGTGGGGTGATTACAAGCTTTAGAACACAGAAGAAACACTTTAAGACTTTATAGTCATAAACAGTAGTGAAGAAAGACTTGGAGGGCTATCGAATTGTGATATGAAGGAAAATGCTTTTCGGGTCAGCATGTCTAGCAAAACAAGGGATCGATGAGAGTGCCGTGCGGTTGAGAGTGAGGGGGGAAGGCGAAAGGGTAGGATGAAAGGGGGGCGCAGAGGGGGTAGAGGGGACCAAAACAGGAAAGAGAATGACCAAGAACGACACGGATCACAATGAAAACAAATAAAACCCATTTTTTTAGAGAAATATATAAAATCAGATGATTTACATCCATTCATGTAACGAAAATACTAGACAGAGACACAGTAGACACACACGATGCTGCGCAATCATCACTCTATTCACTTACAGACGGCTTGCTTCAATGGTGAAAATTACGACCAGCGTAACAGCAAAGCAGGTACTCAAGCATGGATCTGGTAATTATTCCAAAAACAAATGAAAAACAAATTGTGTGGTTTGTGGTATGAGCAAGTAGCCAAAAACCATCAAGTTAGGACGTATTCATGCTGGTTATTTGCGGCTTGCAGAAAGATTTTGATAGCTAGAAGATTACTAACTTTCTGCAAAAAAAGGGTTTTTTTGAAGGTATATTCAAAATAGAGCATTGTTTCTAAAGACTCGATCATGATCAGATAGATTTGCAAGAAAAGCTACAAAACAAAACATTGTTTCCAGCTAGATGGCGAGGTATTAGAACACATAACGACCAGTCAAGGATAGTTTATTGACAGAGGCGAGGCCAAATATGTACTCAGAAAAATCAGTGGTAATGACAAGGTGCTCGTCCCTTACGCGCTCGGTATTAAACGTCGTATTTCGCCCGTAAATATCACACCCACACAAAACAAGGTCATTCGTCCACCTCACGCTCCGAGCGCAATACTTGATCGATAGGCGACATGAAAGTCTGACACGAAAAGGTGATTAGTCGTGGATGAGCATCATTGCTAGCTCACGGTGGTGAATAAAAAGCGTTCTAGGAGCGTGCCGAAACGACGAATTTCGAGCGTTTGCGACATTGTGAGCGCGGCGAGAGCGCAGAGAAGAGCGACGCGCGGCGCGACACGCAGAGGAAATCCATGCATGGGACGACGCGAGTGCGTGTGCGGCGAGAGAGCGCGAGAGCGGCGCGGCCGGCGAGGCAGTGGCCGGCCGGGAACGGCCGACGACGAGCACGCCGACACCGAACAGCCGACGACGACGCGCGCCTACCGTCGCCGCGAACGAGGCGAGGGCTGCGCACAGTGAAGCCGCGGCCGAGCGGGTCACCCCCACCCAGCAAGGACAATTAACCCCGTCGGGAGGGCTCGCGCGCCGAGCCGCCGCCACCCGCGCCAGCCGCCCCTGCAGCGTTCGCCGCGGCGCCACCGCTCTCTGAGCCGCTCGAGCATCTCCGGCGTGCGGTTGCTCACTGAGCCCTGTTGGCCACATACAAACATTACCGCAAAAATTCTTCCGCATATCTAAGTTCGCGGGTTTGTGCCGAGATGAACGATAGCTAGTACTGTCAAATCATTTCATATGGTCATGTGTGTCATTGCACACATAATCCACCTTTGGCGTTCTCATCCTGGATTTGCAACCGCAAACCGCGAGAGACTTACCGATTCTTATCAGTTACATTGATTTGAGGTGAATAACACCTAAAAGGGAAAGAAAATATTAAGAACACATTGAAAGTACCTACATGAAGGGCTGTCTCCTCTAAGAATCCAGGGGAACGCGAAAGGTGGACTATGTGTGCAATGACACATATGATCATATGAAGTGACTCGACTGTAGGCATACTGTAATCTCACGGTTTTCAATATGCCGCACATATATTCGTCCTTTTTGGAGCAATATGTTCCCACTGGGTCGAAAATGGTGTCGAAGAGCAAATTAGGGCCCTCTATACTCCCGTCGTTATTTCTAGATTTTTAAATATCATCACGGCGTAAATATAAATTTTGAGGAGGATCCTGCCTAAGCAACGCATATGGCTGGCACAAGCTATCGTTTATGTAGGCTGCCCCCCCCCCCCCCAGTTCGCTGCTTGCACTATACACAGCTCGAGCTCTGATCCATTTATAGTCGTCTTTTCGTATGTTATATGTGTGATTGCACACAAGATCCACTGCATGTGCAATTCCGGAACTCGCTAGCTATAAGGACGGATTTCTTCCGATCAAATGCTTTTTCAGGGCTTCTTTGGTAATTCCGTTTATATCACGTATCGATAGAAGCGTACAATAAAGAATATCTCCTAACCAAAATGCAAAACGGCTAGCGCATTCGAGAGGTACGGGCGTATGTAGTGAGTGTGCAATTACACACAGTAGGATACGAAATAATTAGTCTGTAATATTATAGACAAATTACAGTCAAGTTGCAATTTATCATGTGTGATTGCACAACCCATGCAAATTACACGTCAACTCTTTGCCGAATATCGCAGTTGTTGCGGAAGTATGGGAGGTCACCTAGGAAATATGTGAGTTTACACACTACGCGCGGCTATCCACGACTCCCTACTATCAATTCGTCAGAGTAACCTTTTCAAGCGGGACAAATGTTGAAATATGTTTTGCTATTAGGTATTCATCTAACTATGCACAAAGAGAGGAGACGATTAAGAATTTCTAGAAATCAACAGCATTTAAACTTGAAAGTCGTAAAGTAGCAAGCGTCCTGTGTAGTACGCATATCACAATACTGACTCACTTTCATAGAACAATGCTTAATATACTTCGATCCCATAACCAGCGAAATCTTCGATTTTTGTATTGCTGTGTAATCGCACACAATTTCGATCAATAATTATTTTTATTATTTTTGACACTAGCTTTGCAGTGTTAAATAACTCGGGAAGGAAGTCTTCGAAAAAAAATCACGCGTTTATTTAGCAAAACAGAGATCTGATTACCTAGACGCAACGTGTCTTTGTGGTAAATAAAAACATCTCGCTAGTGAGGTTTTGTATTGCATAGAGGTGAAGACGAAATATTGGCCAAAATTCATGTTAATTGGCAGAATCCGTTCCTAATCGTGAAGCCTTCCGAAATCGTGTGAGATGTTTGCAAAAGTCCGATTAAATAGACGATTATTATTACTCAGACCAAATGAAAGCCGCAAAGCAAATATTTTTAGAAGTCCACCTCCATATTGTTTTTAAAATGGACAGTTCAGGTAATTTAGTTCATCAGACAATCCTTTAAAACAAAATTTTAATGTGAAATAATGTCCGGATCACATTTTTTGGTGCGAGAGCTAGATCATCACTGACCAGGCATCCTGAATTGTAGAGAACCAATTTTGTCTAACACGACTTATCGCACCAAATTCTATCCTTAAAAAGTTTCCCAGCCAGGTTTGACTTCTCTTTTCAAGCGCCAATTATTCAGTATTTTGACGCTATTACAGTCAAATCATTTTATAAGATCACGTGTGTCATTGCACACAACCCGCCGTCAACCTTTGGCGTTCCTCCTGGATTCCAGGAGCAGACATCCCTTTAGATAGGTGTTTCGGCCTTTCTTTATGTTTCCCTTACTTTCTGGGTACCAATCTCCACAAACTTATATGAGCGATAACAACTGGTCAGTTTCTTGCATTTTCGCAATTGCAAATCCAGGATGAGGACGCCAAAGATGGACGTTGTGTGCAATGCACGCATGGTCATATGTAATGATTCGACTGAACATAATAATTCCTTGCAATTTGTTATCATTCAAAAACTAATCTCGGAACAACGATGAGTTTAAGAAATTCCTGTGAAGATTCGGAAGGGATCAGAGTTGTGTCATCTTACAATACTTATACAGTCGCTGTGAAACAGGAATTTTCAAAAAGTTCTAAAGAGAAGCTTATTGCA